TCAGAAACCCAGACACAGACACAGACACACAATTTGTAGTTCCCAAGTTGGTTTCCCATATACTTCGAATATGTGCACAGTCATAATTTGTGTGTTATATCTATCGATTTCAGTAATAATAGGTAAATGAATATGGAAAACCTGTTTTTTTTTCTCTCTCTGTATTAATTCTTTTTTTTTAATTATTTCTTACTATGCTCTTTTTTTTCTTGCAAATAATCTTACTTTGGAATACTGCTTAATATATCGTTGTTTGGAGTGTGATACAATTAAAACTGTTATTTGCCATCATTATTTTGTGCCGTTGTTATTGCAAAATTTCTGTATTCAGTTTCAAGCGACAATAACAACAAAGTTCATTGAAATTCCTATGCAACATTTATGATGACTAATAAGCCAGAATAAGGGGGGGAAAAAAGTGAAAATTTGAATTATCTTTAGATTGTATAGAATCAGTTCCGGTTTAATGTCTGTTTCTGCTATCATTATTGTGGCCGGCATTGTCATCGTTGTCCGCCGTTGCCATCAACGTCAATGTCGCCGTCATTGTCGACGGATGCAGTTTTCTCTGCTATGATGTTATGTATGTGTGTACAGCGGTAATGAAAATTATCAGTTTTTTACACTGTACAACCATTTCCGATATCCATCCATCCCATTTGTCCATTGTACACTCAGAATTCTATTGTCGGTTTCCACAAGAAAAAAAAAAGCATAATTGTCCTAGTTAAAGCACATGAATACTAAGAGCAAAGAAGGTCTCCAAAATTGTTTCGCTGTTAAACGACCGACATTTTGGCCTAAAAAACATTCTCTTATTTTCTTTTGCTTAGGGTGTAAATTAGCTCGTGTTGATAAGTTTAAACCACCAGCATTAGCAGCAGCATCGCAAACAGTTGACAGTTCAGGTAAAGTCCAGTTTCTGTCGTTGCAAAGTTTTTAGCAGCAAATTAATGGTGATACGTGCAGCAACAGTTATGGCAGTTACTGACAAAGTACAAATATTGTAATGGTTGAAAGTTTTTCTTTTTTTGATAAATCTTCTATTTTCTATCACTGTCTGCTCATGTTTTTTTTCTTTTGTTTAGCTAATTATTTGATTGTATCTGCTACCGTTTTTTGATTTATTTATTTTGGCTGATAAGAAAGTGTTTTCCCCTTCTTCGTAAAATGTATAAAAAAATTTTTTTTTGCAGGAAGAAATTTTATAAGTTTCTTCTTTTGTTTTTTTTCTTCACCGACAACAGTACACAGAACTGTTTTATTGTTGTGACAGTTAACAGGCGATTCGTTAAAGACGGACACTTACAACCAACAGCACTGATGAACAGCTTTCATGCCTATCTAATCAGTTATTGTATCACAGACAAATCAAAATAGTTGTTAAAAGTTAGATTCTGACTGTTTTGATGAACAAAACAAATAAAACAAACAAACAAACATAGAGATAAATAAAAAAAACTAATCAAATACTACTAATAAAAAAAAAAGAAACGTTTTTCAGACGTTTGTTTAGAATCACTTCAATATTCGCTATTCACACTTCTCTGTGTTGCTTTCTGTCTCCAAGTCTCACTCGGCATCAATAAATAAGATGAGAACAACAACAAAAACGTTATTTACAAACAGCATTCTGCAGGAAGCCGGAGAAGGGAAAGTCTAAGAAACAACTTGAAGAATACAGAATAATAAAGAAAAAGAAGCAGAAAAAAAAAGAAGAAGAAAACTTGAAACTTAACGAAAGCAAAATCGTTTGTACACTAAACATAATTTTTACCATCTCAATGATTTGTTCGTTGTTGAAAAATTTGGAAAACATTTATCTGACCACAAAAAATTGGCCGTTATCTTGAGATCATAGCTGAACTGTGTTGATATCAACTGGATAACTGGGAGATTCTATAATTTAGCCAAAACTTGGAGCTACAGTAAATTTAACCTAACATAATGAAATAGTCGGATTATGGTTAGCAATATTTAAAACTAGTAAAAAAACAAAATATTCCTTTTTTATTTGTCGAACTAAAGAAAAGCGTAAAGAAAGAAGAATAAACTATTGCTGGTTTAGGAACAAACACTTGAAATTTGAAGTACATCTGTACATTAATGACAAGAAATTAGCACTAAGTTAATGGGTGGTTGGGCTCTATTGCTCAAGCTAGTCAACAAACGTTGCAAACCATGGATGAGCAATCGGAAACAATGGTTCAGCAGCGGCTACCTTGTTTTCCAAAGATTCGGATGGTTTTTTTTCTACTCGATAGTCTTCAAGCATAAATTCTTCAAGTAGGCCATCAAACAATTTCTTGATTTCTTTCTTCGTTGCACCCATATATTCGGCTTCTTGTATAAATGCCTAAACAAACTTTTACTAAGTCATCATATTATTAATAACAGTAATCGTCATTCAAGTCAGTTTAGGAAATCCAACATTTTAGAGATTACATTTATTTCTCTCTTACTTTTCAGAAAAAGCTATGCTATTAGCTGAAACAAGCACTATATCGAAAAAAAATTGGTAAATAAGAGTAATAAATTTTAAAACCAAAAGCATTTTAAATTGGAATGGTGTAAGACGATTTTTGAACGATTCGCAATCGTAACCGACACTTCGATAAACTTGCAGTTCTGGTAAAACTTCATCCCATTGTTTTCTGGTTAATCGTGTTCGTAAAAAAGTTAGTACATCATCGAATACCTATATAATAACACAAAACTGTTTTTTTCTCGCTGTCTGACAAAACTTTAACCAATATCATTATGCAATCATTAAATGGTATCGGTAACATAAGAAAGTTGCGAAAAACAAATTTTTGCTTTTGGAAATCTAACAGTAAAATAATAATTGTAGAATACAGTCATTAACAATTTCTAATTTTATTTTTTTGTTTTTCAGTTCTCAATTAATTCAAAATTTGATTCAAAATCTTCACTTAGTCATCTAAAAATGTTTCTACATTTTTTTTTCTGTTATAACAAATTACAAAAATTATAAAATTGCTTTCCAAATATTCTTTTGTTTCTTCTAAAGAGAAAAAACACTAAAAAAACAAACTTTTGGAACTTATATAATAGTGTAAAAAAATAATATTTTTTTATTCTATCAATCAGATATAACAGAGTAAAAATAATTCTAAACTATATAACCTTGTCTTGATTATTTCCAGTGAATTCATTCTCAATTAACAGTTCCAGTTGTCTACGTTGTTGTTTATTCAAATAACGCTGAATGACATTTTGAATACTAATACAGTCAGCAATAGTATCACGTTTACCATTAGCAGTATTACCGTCATCGACAACAAACTGTTCCACGTGAATAATACAACAAAATAATAGCAGCAATAAAAGTTGCAATAAATTAGCATTAATAATTGACATTGTCATCTGCTGAATTGGCGTTACGATTACAGTCACCACTTCCACCGATGTCCTTTGTCCGTCTTGTTTTTTTTTTTTTTATTGGTCTACTCAAAATTTCACCTATTTGTTGTCATCTCTGTATATCATTGTTACAGATAAACCAACAAAACAGGTAGTATTAAAAGCAACATAAAAAAAGTTGTTTTAAATTTCTCTTTTTTTTTTCTATATGATAACAAGAGAGAAAACATCATAAATACAATAGTGTTAATAAATATGAATAATAACTACTGCATTAAATAAGAAATATATAACTGAATATAGTAAAAAAGTACTGGAAACAACCTAATTTTAACAATATAGATCAACCATTGATACGATATAAAGAGCGTTATTTAAACAAAAAATTTTTATCGTTTCATTGGCGGTTAACGACAATTATTATATAACTGCTGAATTGGCAAAGTATAACGCACAGAAACAAGTCACTTTAGTAATCGAAACTATCAATGAATACCTAGACATTGATCAGAAGAAAAAAAACTATTTGATTTTCTTATTTCTGAAATACTATAAATATTGTAAACAATAATCCTGAAAATGTAAGAAAAAAAATTTGCAAGAAAAATATAGACACAAAGAAAACGTGTGTTAACTGGTAACTCATAAATTTCAATAAAACTTTTTGATCATATAGTCATGGGAAATGATTGTTCTTATCAATTATTTGTCATCAAGTGTTACCTATCTTTCATTCAATTTCTTTTGTTTTTAGTTTGAGTTGATTTAGAGAGTAAACAAAATAAAAACAAAAGCGTAAGACTGAGCTTTTGATAATTTTGGAAAAAGAAAAAAAAGTGTTGTTATTGTTGGCTATCAGCTCCCAATACAGTTCGAGCGTAAATGACTGATTATCGTGGAACAAAAACTTATAAGTTGACTGATTTATAGATGCTAAATTTTTCTTTATTTTTTTTCACTGTCGAAACTGTAACATGAAAAACTATTGTATTCACCTCGCCTTAACAAGTGGAAAAAATCATCAAACAGTCATTTATTAGTTTTTTTTCTGTTAATCACAGTTGGGCAAAGAAAAATATCCAAAAAAAATATTCTCTCTTCATATTGTCGACATAATCATTGGTTAGGTAAACAGTACAAATTTAAATTGTATAAAAAAGAGGGATATATACAAAGTTTTTAGGACACAGAATTAATTTTTGCAAAAAACCAACATTTTAAGCAAGCAAAAAAGAGATTAAAGGAGAGTATATGAGGAAAAAGAGTATTGGTTTATCATATATCGACAACCATTAGTTGTAACTGATGTTTGTGAAACGCTTCTATTCCTTAGCAACAGCCGTATGGTACACTAAATCTGGTCTCGTCACTGGTCAGTCAATTTGGTTGGTTAGTTAGATGGCTGACCAACTGTGAAAAAAAAAAAAAAAAAAACGAAATGAACATTTAAAAATGCCAATGTATATGGCTACTGAATGTCGTCAAACACAGATATTCGTCTATCTAAGCGAGCATTAAAAGCAATATTAAATTCTGGTAACAACAGTTTACAAATTATATTGTTGGCAAATTATTGAGGTATCTGTCATTATCTACTTGTTCTGATTCTCTTCTTTTCAATTTTTTTATCTTCCTTCTCCTACGTTTTTTGGATCAGCTTGAGCTATTCTTTCTTTATTGCTTTAACACTTTAATTTATTTCTTCTTCATCTTTTTAATCTTCATACCCACACAAAAAAAAAATTGTATGCACTAAGTAAAATATTAGCTGAATCTTTAGTGTTCCAAGTGGATCCACTTGAGCAACAAAAAATTCGATTCATATCTCTTTTTTCTTTTCTTTTCTTTACTCTAAACAACTTCATCAACGATGATGATGATGATGATGATGGCTATGACTTTGACGACGACGATGATGACAACGACTGAGTGTCGACATCTTCTTCATCGCTATCGGCGTCATCGTCAGAAGTAGCAGCAACAAAAACAGTAGATCGAGATATCAACTTTTTTTTTCTATTTTCTTTTTTAAATTTATTGACAAAAGGTGCAACTTTAGACAGTGCGTTAGTTGATTCGAAGAAATTTTTATTTACAGGTAAGGAAACTGTTTTCCTATTTTTTCTTTTACTCAGTTCTTCAAGGAAAAGAATCTGAAGAAAATATTTGACCGAATATGATGTCTCACTGTTAGATAAGTAATGTTTATTTTAAATCACTAATAACAATATTTTTTCAGCTTAACAACATTTAAATATTAATCATCACTTATTTAACAACAAACAACTTACTAAAACCATTATTAATTTGAATAAGTGGCAATTGTAAGATAGTAATAATAAAATTACATAGAAAAATACACATATAATTCAGCTATTATTATTACAATTTTTTGCTGTAATCAAATTTTCCTTCTTTTTCTTAACCTTTTTAGCAGTTAGCACTGTAGCCATTAGTTCTGAATCATGAAAAAACAAATTCCACGAAGAAAAATTAACTAATTAACAAAACTTCGTAAAAGTATGACAGAGGACAATTTTTGCAATAGAAACTCGATTTTATAAGGCATTAGAGTTTCAAATTTAATTTTGCAGAACGATGGAATACTGAAGGGACAAGGTGCACTAACGTCTTTATAGAATTCGAACCGCACTAAATGGGGCTATTTTGAAGTACCAATTTGAAAATATGAGTTACCCAAGAAAGAAGCCGTAGAAACCGTGACGTCAGTGAGTTGAGAAAACAGTATTTCTCATAAAACAGATGTAGTATTGGTTAGGCTTATTCAGAGTCCTAAGATTAGTTAGATTCCAATGAGTATCAAAAAGTTTACCCAAATCCATCGTATCTTTTATGGGACATGTTAGTTTTACTGTTCACCTTCGTAACAGTTCTCTTTCACAGCACCTCTCAATGAAGTTTGGATAACCGCGCAGTGTCCAACATTTTGGTTTCAAGCATATAAGCTGTTCTTCTAACCCTTCAGCTTTGCAAAACATTAATGTGACAAAGAAAAAACCCTGTTATTACGAAACTTACTTTAAAAAAAAAATTTATATCACCTGCTTTATAAGACCGAGTTTCTGTTGCGTTTAAAGCTTTTTTTTTTATTTTTATCAATATTTGTGTCATTGTGCAAAATCTTAACATTATAATTCGATAGTTGAACAAAAAAAAATAATAATAATAATTCAAAAGAAAACTGTAGAGAAAAAATTGTCTATTTTTTTTCTACAGTTAATTTGACAATAATTTCAAAAGCTAAGTGCTTTCTTGAGTAGTATTTTTTGTAAGAGAAATATCGCTTTTCTTTAAAGCTTTTTGTTCCATATTCTCTCGCCACCCAAGATCTGCAACAAATTTTTTGATGATTTTAATGATGAACAAAGTAAAGGTCATAAATGACAATAAAGCTAACAAAGAAACATTTTCAAATAAAAAAAAAAAATTTATTCTTTTACAACAAAGCTTTCTTTTTTGGGGGGCAGAGGAGGGGGACAAAAAATTGACCTATTCAAATGACACAATCAGTTTCTGTATGATACCACTTACTGAGTTTCTTTGAAAAACGTTCTCGTTCAAATTTTGCATTGGCTTCTTCAAATTGGCTCAACTTTTCGGGTGAAAGAATCTCTTTCAGATATCTGTTTATGTGCTCCTTTATTTCTGGCTCATTTGCGCCGCTTTGTCTAGCTTCGATAATCAACTCATGAAGAGCTTCCTAAAAGACAGAATGTGTACTGTCTTTTAGTTCATACCATATTTTTGTGGTGTAAAATAAGACAGAACAGAAAGAAGCAGAATGACATAAAAATGGCCATGAAAAAGAGCGAAAACTCATAAGACAAGAGAAAAAATATTTTGAGTTCTATATTTCAGTAATTGACAATTTTTCTTCTTGTTTATCCTTTCCCATTACATCATTAACTTAAATCACCTTTGCTTATACCCACAATTGAACCACCAAAGTTGTTTAGTCATTTCAAACAGCAGTTTCTAACACAAACGTGTCCTTAACAGATACATTGAAAAACAGTAATAAAAAATAATAAAATAATAAACAAAAAGAAAATAATAAACGAAAAAAAAAAAGATTTAACCTGTTCACCGTCTGTTAAATATTGTGCAAACGGTGATAAGGGACATCGTCGACGAACGCTCAATGCTGATTTGTCAATTACACCGGGAGCCGGAACAGAAAACTGTGTTTTTGGTTGGATTACAGGTATTGCCTGCGAATGCCACAGTGGTGGATAACGTTGTTGAGGTTCAAACGGTAGTATCTTCAATTAAAAAAAAAAATTTTT